TTTGCTATGTTTTCCAGGCAGCCTTGAACTTGAAATCTTCCTGTCTCAGCTTCCTCAAGAGCTGGGATTACAGGTGTATGCTAACATCTCTAGCTTTTTCTTTATTTTTTTTCATCTTTTTTTTTATTTAATCTTCTTTATATTACATTGGATTACATATAACTTTACAGTGTATTACATTGCTTTTTCAAAAGGGAAGGCCATGCATGTCAGTCAGTACAGAGACATTAATCTCCCCACTTCAACATTCAATATCTTTTCTATGTTTTCCCCAATCATTATTATTATTATTCTAATTATTTTTTAAAACAGCCAATCGTTATTTCTCATTTTGCTTGTAAAAATACTTTGCCCATCTTGAAATACTTCGCAGACCAATCCAGTTGAGAATACTATACATGTCATCATCAACAGTAAAAAAGCCATATCTGTTTCTCACTAACGTCCTGCCTCTCTATTGTTCACTTGCTATCTTTCTCTATCCTCTTCTCTTCACTTCCCCCATTCCACACTGTCCTATGCTTTTTCTTTATTTTAAAAACTTTTTTCTTGTAACTATAATAAACATGCTTGTGGTACTTCTTTGTCTCTCTAGGTGGGCTCTGTATCTACCAAAGCTGTCAAACATCAGGCCATATCTGATTAATCTGTAGCCTCAACCCAAAGGTAGCATTACATTGACTAGCCAGACCAAGTAACCTAGATCTATTTTGAAGAAAAAGAAATGGGTCAATAAATTATTTTGGGAGCTGGGATACAAAACTTGGAAACTAAGAGGTCAAAATAGTGATGACAGTGCTTATTATAAAAAGTAACATGGATTTGGGAACCAGCAGTTAGTGTAATGGCTATGTCGCTGGACTCCCACGTAGTTGACTGCGGTTCGCGTCCCGGACCCGGTGGCTTAAAATTCACGCTGGGCGTGTGTCCACGCATGCCCAAGATCACAAGAGGAGAATGGAGGAGAAGGGATTGTGGCGTGACCATCCCCCATGGGGGGTGATTTCTCGCTTTCTGTCTCTAAGTCTCTGTCTTGTCTGTCTGGCGAGCGCACGCGCCCTATAGCAAAAACCTCTCCAAAAAAAAAAAAAAAAGTAACATGGAGTCAGGAATGGAGTGGCCATTCCAGAACACATGCAAAATGAACAAGCAGACATAGCTGGTCAGTAAAAGAGAAGGAAGGATAGACACAGAGAGAAAGAGACACAAACACACCAAGGTAAAGAAGTTTAAACAACAGACCATGAGAGAGGGACAAAATAGATGCTTATAAGATATCCCAAGATACCCTGTGCTATGTGCTATGTTCTTTACAAGGGTCTATTGTAATATTTGGGTCCCATTTCCATAAGAAATACTACCCTTGGATTTCTGCAAGCTTCTCATTTTGAGCCTAAAAACTGCTTTTTGTGAGCTATCGTAAAGTGTTGCCAGTTTTCCGTAATGAAAATGGGTCTATCAAATACATAAATAAATAAATACAAAGAAGGAGAGAGAGGAAAGAAAGAAAGAATGAACAAACAAACAAAGAAGAAAAAATTTTTGTACGGTGGTTGTGGCAGAATCCAAGCAAAACTGGATGTTCCTTTAATCATTTCATTCTATTCTAATTTTACAAAGCTGAAATGACTGACTACAAATTAATCTAGACATTTGCACAGACTTCTGTGGAGTAGGACTATCTAATCACTGAATTTGTTCCATGGTCCCACGGTCTGAAGGAAATCTCAATTAAAACAGTCCTTAATGCAGCATTAACCTTGCGTGATCTTAAGTGTTCGTTTTTCTCTCTTCCATAGTATCTGTTATTCTTTCATCAGTGTGACCTTAATCATCCACAGATTTGTCAAGTATTATTGAATACAGTATTCTAAGCAACCCAAGACCCAAGAGCTGCAAGCAATATGCTTGCCTGATTGGGCAAACAGTGTAATATTGGACATTTCTTTTTCTTACTTGTTAGCTTAATTGAAAGAAGAATTAAATGTTACTTTAAAAATTAATACAAGTCCAAATATCTTATTTTTTACAGTGAAAGATAATTCCTAACTTTTTAAAAACTTTTTATTATCTAGAAGGTGTGTACTATTCAATTTATAAACTTCATTTTATTCTATGTCTTGTCTTTTTATGAGTGACGAAAACTTGTGAACATTTTTGGAACATTGTAAACATCTCATTAAAGGGAATTCTTACAAATATACATATATACATGTACTGGCAGACACACACACACACACACACACACACACACACACTGTCACATTCTCACATACACGCACACACGTCTTTGTTAAACAATGCTTGTAGATTTTTATAGCCAATCTACCACATTTATAAATGAAGCAATGGATGTATGTAATTGGTTTCTTGTAACATCCTTCCATGAGTCCCTTGAAAATATTTAAAATGAACCAAATGACAGCTTATTGTCATGAACAATAGGGCAGCAGTGTAGCATTTTGTCAAAGACCACTAATAGTCAATATTAAAGTACAAGTGCATATAATATATAATTTTGTTTTGGTACAAATTAATAGTTTACTTTGGAAATATGAAACAAACCAACAAGCAAACAAAGCATAACTGATAACTTATGAAAAGCAAAACAGATTCCCACTAAATTCTGATGAGGACTTCATGATGACACATGCAAACATACATAGTAGATTTTTCTGAGTTCCTGTAGCATTGTATATCTGACAGAGATTTTTTAAAAATCAGTAAGCTCTGTACTCTAGGATACATTGCTTAGAACTAGTAATTTAATCAAAAGGAGCCAAAGAAAAATAAGTGAGGAAATAGTTTATATTATAAAATATCAAATTAAGTTTTCATTTTAATTGGCAAATTCTCCAATGACTTCAGGGATTTGGTGAAAACCACCTGGAAGTTATTCTCTTTAATCTAAATTAAGCGGTATTTATGCTATGTTAAACAGTGTTTCTGAATATATATTTAAATTAGTTAAGATTGCTGGAAAGAGTACAAGGATTTTAAATCCTGAGTTGTTAGGATAAAATGAGTTAGTACATGGAAAGTCCGTTACTACCAAATCATTATCAATTCTCAGTAAAGGTATGCTCTTACTACCATTCCAAAAGGATTTCTTAATGTACTCTACATGTTGGTATTACATGTTTATTAAGATAGTTCTTTTACTATGAGTCACATGTTTGAATGCAGAAATGCTAATGTTCTATTATAAAGAGTCTCCTCAGCTCTGCTTGCAGTGCTGTGGATAAGAAGGCATTTGTATCAGAGTAACTTTCTCAAATTGCAGAAATTATGAATCCCTGAACCTTCAGGTCCATAAAAGTTTTGAATAAGGACCTTTGGATTACAAATGGCTACTCTTTTGTAAGTGAATGTAAACTAGACACAAATCAAAAGTCAGGAAAGGATATGTGTCCTTTAATCCAAAATTCCACCTCTAAGAATTTAGCATGGCTCAATTATTAGGAAATTAGAAGATCTAAGTTTTGGTAAGACCGGCAGAGATGATTCATAATGGATAAAAGTGAGAAAGTCTCAAATGGTTCAATAATAGAAAATTGGAATGGAATTACAGCCATCTGGACTCTATACCACAAATTACTCCCACTTCACTTAAAAGTGACTTTGTGTAGTAATGCTAATTCCCACATGGCTGACCACAATTGGAATCCTGGTCTTGGCTGCTTGAAAAACACCCAGGGCACCTGTGTGTATCTTCCCCACATCCAAATGGGATGGAGAAATGGAGGAAAAAAGATTATGGCTTGATCACACCTCATTGAGGGTCGCTTTCTCTCTCTCTCGCCCTCTCATTCTGACAAGTGCACACACTCTGATAATTTAGGAAGGAAGGAAGGAAGGAAGGAAGGAAGGAAGGAAGGAAGGAAGGAAGGAAAGATGAAGCTATAAAGATAATATGCACCATATAAAATAATTTCTAAAAAGTATTGGGATACGTATGTTTATATTTATGTGTGCAATTTGTGTGTGTGTGGGTGTATGCACTATTTGAAAGATACTCACTAAAATATAAACGGTGATTATCACTGGATGGAAAGATTGCAGGTAATTTTAATTTTCTTTTTATAACTGTGTTTTGTCTACAGTGATATGTTACTACTACAATAATACAACTTTTAAATTTCACCTTACTATATTATTTAAGCATGTCAATATATCCTAGATTTTGAAATCGATGTATTAAAGTTAATATATATCAAAAATGATAATATTCTTGATATTTATATAGGAGTTCATAATTATCAACACTGTGTTTTTTAGAAGACACTATTATGAAGTAAATCCCAGTTTTCAAACAGCATGATTTCACCCATAATAGCATTTCTAAATATTATTGATATTTTTAATGTGTGTGAGCATATATATTAAAATTAGCTGTAGAGAACTGGAAGTATGATCTACATTGTCAAGGAGGTTATGTTTAGAATCTTAGACTTGTTTTCTGAAATATGCCAGAGAGTATATTGGTAGCATTCAATTTCTGACCCATGTGGAGGGAACAGCAAGCTTGCCATCTCAAATAGTGGGATGCCAATTGAGCATTTATAATGTCTTTGTTTCAGTCATGAGAAACAATTTGCTCTCCTCAGAAAATATGATCTTTATCCTGAAATGCTCCTTTTAACAATACAAATAAATAAGAGAGCCGTATGCACTTTCAGGGAAGCAGTTGGCCGTCTGTATTGCACCAATGGTGATAACGTGAGGGGGTGCCATCCTACTGCTTGGCGTGGGATAAACAGCTAGACCCAGCAGTATATCTGCAGAGAAGAGAGCTCTGTTTTAACTGCCAATTTTCAAGTCGGTGCTTCTTATAGTTCCTACAATATGTGACTGAAATTTGGTGCTGACTCCAGATGCTTTATTCCACTTTGGAGTAGATCATTTCTGCAATCCATGAACAATTAAATTCTATTACTTTTTATTAGAAATTGTGATATCTCTTCTTTATTTACTGAAAGAAATAACTCTTTATTTTTCAGAGCTTCCATATGGCTGGGAAAAAATCGATGATCCCATATATGGCACTTATTATGTTGAGTAAGTCTCTAAGTGTGATATTAACTTGTTATTAATATGTTGTGAAATTGTGTTATTATTTCATCTATCGGACAGGTGTGGTTAACAGCCCTTTTATTTCCTCTCATCTTACTTTGAAGTATCCACACAGACTCGAGCAGCACTAGCTAGCTGTTTCTTGCCTTTCCAGCTGGCTAATTTGTCATTTCTTTCCTTTGACTCATGATTCTCAGACACCAATTGGAAAAGTGTGTTTCACACTGTCCTCTAAATGAGTGATAATTAAAGATACCGAAGCAAATGCCTTTCATTTTGCAATCAAAATGTTGGGAACTGACTGGTTGTGCTAAAGAGATGTTCTATTAAACCAGACTTCAAAGTCAATGAAATAAATCATCCATACATTCCAGATGAAGGATAAAATAAAATTTTGATTTGTTTTCTCTGTTAGGACCCCATTGCAAGTCAATAGTAGTCTTTCAGTAGATTAGACTTTTATGTTACCTATTTAAAATAGTGTTGCATTAATATATCTTATCATAGTATCAATTGTCCCTTCTAAATATTTTTTTATCAGAATAAAGAATTGACTAGGGATTAAATTACAGACTTATTTTTTCTCTTAGGAAAACCAAGTAACAGTTGTCATTTTCAAAAGCCAAATAGTTTATATATTTGGTTGTCAAAAGAGTCAGGATGTTATTTGTCTGTTTTTCTATGCAAACATGTGTCATGACTTTTCTGACAACCCAGTATTTTACATAACCCAGAAAATTTAACATTATGTTTAATAAATAAATTTATTATTTGTATCTATGGTATAAAGTTCCTAAAGTATTCCTGATAGAAAGTTAAATACCCGAGAAATACAGTGAATGAACGAAAGACCTTCGCATTACTCATCAGGCTCTACCTCTGTGTTCTTTCACTACGTTCTGTTTGGCAGTAATAATCTAGATAGTCAAGGTTACAGATGAATGGTTTTACTGCTAAATTGTTTCTGTAACAATATTCAGTTACTGAGCTTTCCTGAGGTGTCAAGCTCCTCTTTGCACTGGAAATGCACAAATAAGTAAGACCTCTGTACTCTCTGCCCCTGGGCATCTCCCTCAGCCGTGTTTGTCTTGAATGCTTTGACCCATCATTTTCATTTGAAAAAGCTCCAGTTCAGGCACCGCAATCATTTCCAGACTCACAGTCAAAGTGGACTCAGCTCATTAACCACATCCGATCTTCTAATATACTACCCGATGTCTAATGTCAGGTGGCTCCTCAATAAATATAGGAAGCAAGATAAACACAGAGATGTATTGCTAATTGCAAACGTAGCAGGAAATCATTTATAAATAGTTATAAAGCCTCTGAGTTTCACTAAACTGCTAATTGATTTCAATGCCCATATATTTTAATAGTAAAATATCCAGTTCCTGAATAAATTTAGCAGTATATTTTCAATGAATGCTGGCTTTGCTTACCTCACTCAGTCATGGCGTATGGCATCTAAGCCTAGTACTTCTGTTATCTAAAGTAATTCCATTTAAGGAAGGAAAACTGGGGTGTTAGACATACCGTACTGCATCCTAATACATTTTCTTGCAGAGTTATTGAGTACAAACCGTTTCCTTGGTTTAGATGTTGGCAACTCCATAAAGATTCTGATAACAAATATTTTAGGGGCCACCCAGGCACCACCACAGCTACTCATCTCTGCCTTTACATTTTGAAAACAACTGTAAGCAATGGTTAAATGAATGGGCAGAACTATGTTCTAATAAAACTATTTATAGAAATAGGCAGCTGGTCAGATTTGATCTATAGATGACTCTTTGCTGATCCCTACCCTATTTCTATGCTTCAGATTGCTCTTTCATGTCCTTAACTCCTTTCAAGCTGCCTTTCAATGCAGACAACTGTGTTTCCCTCAAACCTTTCTTCTCTGCCCTAATCATCTATTAGAAAGGTGAGACACCCACAGGTCAGAAAACTGTGCTTCTCACCTTCTTGATCTTTGAGGTGTGCGTTCTCTAAGTAAAAATCTGCTCTAGGTAGACTTATCATTAATTACCAAGTTGTCCTTGTTGTTTAGATACTCCAAATGGTTGTGTTTATATTTGTTTTTGCTTAAGTTAAACGTCTCTCTGTATTTCTTCACTATGTTTTCCATATATCACAGCCATAGTCAGAAAATTTTTCAGAATTTAGTCGGTCACATATTACAAATATTATTAGATTGGATTGACATGTTGATTCATTTTAGATTTCAAGTCGTTATGAGGTTATCCATACAGTCAAAATAGTTTATTTCCTTCTAGTTGTATCCAATCTTACTATTTCTATGGTGTTATCCCCATTCTATGATAAAGTATATCCATTTCAGTAATTAGGTATATGTGTGTATCAGGCCAAGCAGAAAACTAAGACAAATAAATTGATAACTAAAACTTAAAGATAATGCTAAGTGTTATTCACAATGCCTAAGTCCTTGAATCAACCTAAGTGTCCCAAAACTGACAAATGGGTTAGGATATTTATATATATATATATATAAACCAGATTATGAAAGACTAATATTGTATGTCCCCAATGCACATGCACCAAATGTCTGCACTCTGTGGTGGAAACTGAAAGACTCAATAGCCTAAAACAGTTATTTTATGATCATTTCATTAAAAATGGGAGGGACTAGGTGAGGGGTTTGTGAGAAAATAGACCCAAGAGTACATGTATAAAAGAAGAAGCTATGAGATGGTGTACCACAACAGAGTAGAAAATATAGACACTTAATACATATTTTTAAAAAACACAAATTAATAGAAATCATGAATAAATAAATAGAGGCTGACACTATAATCTGTAGTTAGGGATGTTGGACCCCACATGGCAATTTGAATGCTAGCCCTGGTGGCTTGAAAAGCATACCTGGTACATTTGTGCACATTCCCCAAAACTCAACAGATTGGATAAATGGAGGCAAAAGGATCGGCAGTGTAACCATGCCCCATTGAGGCGTACTTTCTTCCTCTCCCCTTCTCTCTCTGTCTCTTTGTCCTTCTCTGGAGAATGTACATGCCCTTTGGCAATTTAAATTACAAACAAATATAATACTAAGTAGAATATTATAGTAATAATTCTTAAAAATGCATTTTTGGGAAAAATCAGTATTATTAAAATATGTCAACTTATTTTATATAATTTATGCATTACCTGAAATGATAGATATGTTCCATCACAACAACGACAACTTGTCAAATACAGTGTTTTCACTGGAATACACTTACTTACCCAGTTTGTTTTAATTGTTTATCTAATCTATTATACTACATTTTTCACAAGGCATATATTGACTCTAAATAATACTATTGTTTATGGAAATGACATGAATTCATATGTAAACATAGAGATGTTTCATCACTTTCCATTCATAGGATGTTTTTACTGGGGGAAAAAGTCACCTAATTTATTATAGTTAACTGTACAGAAAAGCAGTAAATGTCTGGTCTAAATTAAGGTGCTGTAAGAACTTTTCCAGTATAGATATTATCAATATATGTATTGGTCAAGGTTTTCCACAGAAACAGAAACAACAGAATAAATATTTATATAAAAAGGGAATTTATTATGTCACACAACCACAGAGTAGTTAATTAAGTCCTACAATAAGTTGTCTATAATCTGGAAAAGTAGCTTAAAAAAAAAAGACCCTGAAGCAGGGAACCTGGTACAGTTCTAGTGTGAGGCCTGAAGAGGACCCTTGGGAGATTCTGAAGCAGGAAAGCTGTGCAGTTCCAGTCTAAGGCCTCAAGGGGGACATCAAGAGGTCACAGACCCTAGTGCCCTGTGGCAGCCATAGGTATATGTACAGAGTCCAAAGCTGGATTCTGTCTGGTTGGAGGAGTGCAAGCACCAGGAGCTGTGAGAATAATGCAGCCAAGGGCAGAGTGGAGGGAAAAGGATGGAGCAGGCAATGTGTAGGAATAGAACACTCAGCATGCTCTGGAAGGAAGGAGACAGAAAAAGAGAGGGGAAATACTGGGTCATTGGCAAAATCATGATGTATTTTTTTTCCTATACAAAAATGTGTCACGACTTTTCTCATGACCCAATAGAACCCCGCTTCCTTTGTTCCGCCCATGCACCCAGATGATTTGGTGGTGCCCACCAACACTGAAGGCAGATCTTCCTCTTACAACCCCTGATACACATGGCAATCTCATTTGACAACACTTTCACAGACATGCTTAGAGACAATGTTTCACAAATCTTCCAAGCATCCTTCAATCTAATCAAGTTGACACCCCAAATTAACTATCACAATATAAAATATGAACTTTTTTTTTTTTATTCTTTTTTTTTTTTTTTTGGAGAGATTTTCACTGTAGGGCGCGTGCGCTCGCCAGACAGACAGAGAGAGACATAGAGACAGAAAGCGAGAAATCACCCCCCAGGGGGGATGGTCACGCCGCAATCCCTTCTCCTCCATTCTCCTCTCGGGATCTTGGGCACGCACGCACACGTGCCCGGCGTGAGTTTTAAGCCACCGGGTCCGGGACGTGACCCGCGGTCGACTACATGGGAGTCCAGCGACATAGCCATTACGCTAACTGCTGGTTCCCTAAAATATGAACTTTATAGATTATGATGCTGTAATGATTATAGTAACAACATTAATGCCAAAACTATATGAAATCTGTTTTAAATCTGTAATATTTAATTAATATAACAAAGTAAAGTTGTCTTTATTACAAATCTATAGTAAAGCATATGTTGATTCATTGATGTTATTAATGACAATGGGCAATAGATTCTCTATTATATTTTTCCATCTAAACACACACATTTATGCAGGTGAAAGTTACAAGATATAAAAAATATTCCACCTTCTTGCCCTTACCAATAAATAAGTAAGCCTATACATGGCTATACATGAACTGGCCCCATAATACAGCATCTAAGCCTAATGGCATAGGATCACACATGGCTGACTACAGTTAAAATCCCCAGGCTTGAAAAACATACTAGGC